TATTTATAAAATCCAGTTACATAATTATTATTCAAGTTAGAGTTTAAACCATGAAATTCCAGAGCTAGTGATATGATAAATATTTTTACTAACGCGTAGATTACGTCGTTACGAATCTAACACAACTTGAACGGTTCAAATCGACGCTAAAATGTAGAAGTTATGACCTAAAGAAGGTAGTGGCAATAATGCAATTAACTGGATCTTGATTTTCAAATTAAAATAAATAAAAATAGAATTTTAAATCGAGATCAGGGACCGCGGGTTCTAAATTGGCAAAACACAGGGGCTCTTTAGCAAAATTTTAGGGACGGCGTGTTCTATTTTGAAAAGACAGAGGGGCTCTTAAGCAAGAATGATAGACGAAGGGGTATGTTCTAATCTGGATCGTTGATCGCGGATCGGACGGTCCAGATTAGATGAAAGAGAGGGCGAGAGAGCAACTGGCCAGAGAAGATGACTGGCGCGGCTATTGGCCATGGCCGACGGCGAGGAGCTCGCTGGCGAGCACGAAGAGGGCCCTAGAGTCCATGATTCGACGCGGGGAAAGCATGGGGTGAAAGCAGGGATCAAGGCGAACTCACCGCGACACTTTGCATGGACGGACACTGAGCGGAGGCGACACAGGGCTCGGCGGGGCGGCTCCAACTTGTTCTACGAAGTTCGGCGATGGTTAACAGGGCATTGAGAGCAAGAGGCTAGGCTAGAAAGCTTCGTCACCTTGTAATGAAGGGAGGCAAGAGCTTGGAGACGGCGCAATGGCTTCCAATGGTGGACGCGACGACGGCGGCTTCGACCTCGCGTCGGTGAGATCCAAAACACGACAGGAGGGCGCTAGGGCTCGAGGCAGCGTCGCACGGGAACGAGGCGGAGGCGGTGGCTCAGTTTTATAGGGGCGCTGGGCGTGGGGAGCACGCCAAATCTAGGGAGGCGCGTGCGGCGGCGGGACTTCATCGGGTAGAGTCCGCTCTAGGAACGGGAGGTTGGGGACGGTGTCGACAAGCGGGCCTAGCATGGCAGTGGTACATGGCGAGGGGCTAGGCTGTCGGCCAAACAGAGAGGGAAGGGGCACATTCGCGCTCGGGCTTAGGTTGCTGGGCCGCGGCTTTGGTGGGGAGAGGGGAAGCGGGAGCGGGCCTCCGGGTGGAGCAAGCCTGCGCGGCTTGGGCCTGCGCGAGAGAGTGGGAGAGGAGCAGGCCGGTTGGAGCGGGCCAAGGGGAAAGGAGGAATCGGGCCGAGCGGATTGGCCTTTGGGCTAGATAGGGAGAGGGAGGCGTTTTCCTTTTCTTTTTTTCTTTTTTTTCAAAACCACTTTCAAAAAGAGTTTGAATCCTTTTGAATTTTGGACAAAGCCACTCATATCAATAAATCAAATGCGTAGGTATGTATGCTCAAACAAGTTTCTACGTCCTACGATGAATTTTAATTTAAAGAAAAATATTATCTTCCTATATTTCATGAGCACAAAAATTCATAATAAAACCATTTTAACTCTATTTAAAAAGGAGCAAATTTTTAGGGTGTTACATTCCATAGGTGGTCAACCAAAAATTTTGCATTTTTGAGGAACAGTCCTGCGACCAAGTACTCAGCCATAACGCCTCTCTACAACTACACCACACACATATGTGTGAAAATATATAGGATGCAATCTTTTTATATCAACATTTTGTAATCTTATATATTGAATATTTTTGCTACTAAATGAATTCATATGAAAAAAAGTTTCAACCACAATGTTTTAAATCTTGTCAAACAGTATAACTTTGATATAGGATGTGTCTCTTTCGGAGATTGTTTGAAAAAAAATCTTGTCAAGCACTACAACAAATTATATGGCAAGTACTATTGCCATTTTAAAAAGATGATTCTGAGCTGCCTCTCTATTAGATAACACAATGCTCTCTTTCTGGATTCATGATTTGGTCCGTAATGAAACCATCAAGCTATTCTTGAAGTGCCGATATTTCACTAAGTGAAGTCCAAAGTATATGGCTCTGTTTCCTACAACACAAAGTGAGAGAAGCATAGAGTATGAAACACATATTGCAATATGCTCAAATTAACTAGCTAGGACGTCAATTGACCAAATATACGAACCTAGTCATGTGTGGCAGAGTAACCATCTCCAACGAAAGTGCACATGTAATGCATCACACAGAACCCACAATGATCATTTGGCTAAGGTGAAGAAGAGAATACTTACATTAAGTCTTGAACAAGTAAAGCTATGGGAAGTCATATTGTGAGGCAGATCAAATCATTTTTGAATCAATTGTTGAAGTACTTGAAGCTAAGGTTGAACTCATACGTAGAGAATTATTTCAAGTCATATGCTCAAGGTAGACATGTTCTATGTGTTACTCTTGGTGGTTGCCGCCAAATAGATGGCTTGGAGCAGCAAGACATTGTTGAGCACCGTGTGGTGATTGTACTGGCACTCCAGTGGTGGAATTGTAAGAGCTCGTGCTCATCCTCCCGGAGATTGTGGAGAGCAACAATAGTGGAATCGAGGCTTGTTGGATTGTCTTATTGATTGACGCTCAAAGACAAACGCCCATGTCGGGCCAAGCTTGAGAGCTTGCTAGACTTGTGGAGGAGTGGCAATCTAAGAACTCCCCTCAAAGGAGATGTTGTGAGGAGCGGCGGGGTCTATGAAGGCGTTCCTCACATTGAGCCAGTGAATAGGCCAGTCACGCGAGGCGGTGATGTTGAGGACGGCACGGATCGTTGCCGGTTTAACAACCGGGCTAAAGGTCTCGTTCGATTTTGTGCTAGGTTGCTGAGAGAAGCCATGTACGACCCAGACTGCCTCGTGTTAGGCTAGGGAGCCATCGGTGCGGAGCTTGTGCTTGTATAGCCACTTGCTCGTGACAACATTAGTACCAGGTAGTTGAGGCACGAGGAGCTAGGTGTCATTGTTGATGAGAGCCTGGTACTCCTCTGCCATCGCTGCACGCCAGTTGGGGCTGCGTGGCTAGTTTCGAGTCAAGGACTACGTGGCCAACGTCACGCAACACGCCAGTTCCGAGTCGAGGACTGTGTGGCCAACACCACACAACATGTCGATGGTGACCTTCTCTTATGGCAGTACTCATAGATGGAGAGGTCGCCCTGGGTTATGGAGTGGATCTCATTACTGAGGAAGACATTGCAGGGGGCCTTGTACGCCTAGAGGAGGGCTTTGATGGAAGCCTAGAGCCGACGGGTTGTCTATTTCGGCTTGATGGCAAGTCTATAAGGACATCGTCCACGAGGTAGTCGAGCAGCTAGCATTGGATGCAGGAGTCTACGTTCGCCTAGGCTTGATCATCACCATGACATGCCATTGTCATGCCGTCGATGTGTGAGTGAAGGTTGAACTTGCCGCATAGGTAGAGGAAGAAGGTCGGCTAGCGAGTGAAGTTGGAGTGTTTAAACTCGAGGGTGATCGGTACGTGTGACTTGATGGCGATTGTGGTGTAGGGGGGCATAGTGGCACTCGAGGCCGAGGAGTCCGTCGGCATGGGAAGGGGGCTTTAAACCAATATTTAAGCACCGAAAAGTTGAGCAATACTTGCAAAGCAATTAAGATTTTTAAAAGAAGTTAAACCAACTACCATTAATTGCTTTCCCCATCGGCTTCGAGTACAATCAGTAGTCTATAGGCTCAATTTGCTTGTTGGCACATAACCGAGGGCCCAGTGGCCACTAGATCTGGGTCCGGTATGCCTTTTGCCTCCCTCACGATGCAAATGCCGTCTATGGCCCTGCTTGTTTGAGGCCCAGTGGATGCAAATTCAGCCTGGATCCATGCATGCAAGCAGTACCCCCACTACTCCTAATCGCTACTAGAGCTTTGTTGTGCATGTAAACTACGCCTGCATGTATCGTGTACTAAATCCATTCTAAATTATAGTTTGTTGGACTTTTTTATCCCAAATTTGACCACTTGTCTTATTCCAAAATTTAAGCTAAATATTACTTCTTTTTTGTGGCTTGCTTTATTAACAAAAGTTCTTAAAAAATCACTTAAATTTGACTATGTTTACACAAATTTTTTGAATAAAACAAGCGGTTAAACTTGGGGTAAAAAAAAAGTCAAATAAATTATAATTAGGAACAGAGGGGTATGCATTTACCTCGTGGCACCACGTTGACCTCGTGCCTTGCATACAATACAACCTCGACGCCCAGCATCTCATCGCCCAGAGCGTCTCACATGCATACTGTAATGCAACTCCCTATGCTAGTACATATTAGGCCTCCATGTTACTTGGAGGAAAATCCAAAAAATTCTTAAAAAAACCATCCTGTCGTCCAATCAAATGCTAGACAAAAAAAAATGGATATTAGGGGCGTTTTGGGACCATTTATATAAGAATCAATTTTAATTTGATCATCATTTTAGTATAAGCCATGGTCTAAAAAATTAGAAGCATAGAGAATCGAAGATGTTTGGCAATCTTGATCATTATAGCAATCGGGAGCGTAAAATGACATTTATGTCCTTCTTCAAATCACCATCCGTTTCTTGTTTATCACCTCCATCCTCCGACCGAGCGGAGGCGAGGAGTAGACGAGGATTAGACGGCCAGGATCCTCCGACATCCTCTGACCGATGCGGGGAACGGACGAGGATATTTGCTGATCAATGGGGTATATTATTGTAGCAGTGCACAATAGGCACTTACTTATCAAGATACAATATTGACTTATATTATCTGATGCATACAAGTATATATGAACTTGATAATTTATACCACCACAAGAAAGCTTAAATACATTCATGAAGTATATAAGATCATGGCATCATGGAATACAACAACACGAGGGTATTATTTAGGAGTGCACAATAGGCACTTGAGTACTTACACAAGAGGTATAAGTATAACCCTTCAATACAACAATATAGTAGTAGTAGGTAGTAATCATAAGTTCAGTAGCAGTAACAGCAACAGCAGCAGAAGAAGAAGATAGCAACGGTAGTACTAGCAATCTAGCATAGTAGCATAATCAGTTTAGTGGTCGGGGTAATTATGCTTAACTAGACGAGCGAGTTGGAGACCATCGGGCATGGGAGCCACACGGCAAGCGGTAAGCCCGTCTGTGATCTTCACCTTGCTAGTTCCAGAGCTGAAAATCAAGTCAAGCAGCGCACTTGTAGCCATCCCAATGAGCGCACCAATTCCAAATCCGGCGACTGGTCCAATTACCGTGACAGCTGCAGAAGCGATTTCAATGTCAAGCGCTGCGAATCCAGCTTCTATAGCAGCATCAACTACCTCACCGACCTCAAGGCTAACTACTTCAGTTAACGCATTCACTGAATCCCTAACTGCTGCCTGCATCTTATCCTCCGCTGTGTATATGTCCCATACCATTGCAGCTGCTGTAAAAACAAAAAATGCAACCCCGACTGTTCCCAAAGCTTCAACTGAGTAAGTCACCACGGATTTTCCTTGTCCTGCTTCCTCAATAATATTTTCATATACCTGATGAACATGAAACATTGCAGTGATATTCAGTACCACTTTTACCACACACTATGTAACACCAACTTTTGCAAAGAACATGCTGTATTAAGATCAAAATTATCATGATATCATCTTATCATAAAACCTGAAACTAAAATGAGCTCAATCTAAAGCTAGAAAAAGTTCAAACCGATTCCAATGGAGGAACCATTTTATGAAGAGAAATGACTCCACTTTAGTGTTTACTATGCTCAATTCCAAGATTAATAAGTAAGGCCCTGTTCTTTTGTCATGAAATTATTTCAGTTTAGTTCATCTCGAAAACTCCAAAGCTTGATAACTTCTTATCGGAATCAATTGCAAAACTAGTCAAGTAGCATTGGAGAGCTTTTTATATAAACCTTCATTTGATTATGATATTTGCTATGCTTTACGTATAGTTTAGATGGTTAAAAATGGACTTTGAATCACAAAACTCAATAACTTCAATTCAGTTTAGTTCAGTTCAATAAATGGCAGCTCTTAAGAACACAGCCTAAATCCTTTCTATATCTCTACTCTTGATGAGTTGAAACATATTTGTACGTCCCGACTTCTTTCCTTTTTAAACCTTTTCTTCACACTGCAGTACCACAAATCTTTATATATATATATAATTTGGAAAATTATTACAATATTCCAAAACTGAAACAAAAATGTGTAATATGGTACCTTAAATATTGTTAATTAAGCAATTAATTTGTGATAAGCCTGTAAAGGGCAAGGTTTAGAGAGTAAGTTAGGTCATACCTGTAGCTTTTGGATATCATCCAAGTTTTTAAAAGGCCCCTGAAAATCAAGCTTTGCCATATTTCTGCAAGTACCGTGGGACAAGAAGGAAAGCAATTGTTGTTACATAGTGTATGGTAAAATAGTAGTAGTTACTACTACTACTACTACTACTACTATTGTTGATGATGATGATGTAGATGTAGGGACATACTTCTGCACAAGATCCTCAAACTTGATTTTGTTTTCCTTGAGCCATCTTGAGAATTGATTTGGGATAAAATGCTGAAACTTTTTGGCAAACTCAAGTGCTGCTTTCTTATACACGCCAGCCTCAAGAGCAAGGCGTTGAGCTTTCTTCTCTTGGGTGGCTGGATTGAGCCACTTTAGCTGCTTGATGAGATCATCACTGTGGCTCTTGAGCTTGTCAAGGTAGTTGAGATGGGTGTTGTAACTACGAATGAATTCTAGGGATGTTTCGATGCCTTTGGTGCAGTATTCATAGACATCCTTAGCAATATCTTGCTTGGTGGCGTCCTGCTCGGCCTCAGTCTGCGTTATCATTTCCTGTGTACTCTCAAGGATGTGGTACACCTTATCACGGGCATCTTTGGCACAATGGAGATACTTTTGTTGGTCTGCATATGACTTGAAATGGAGCTCTTGAAGCTTCTCCACTTCTTGTCGATGGATCAAATCGGCTAGCTTATGCAGTTGCCCTGGACTTAAATCAACTACCTCATGAGACATGATGCAAGAGTGACTCTTATATCCTCGTTGAATCCTTTGTAGTCCACTTCCCGTTTGTAGGCCGAGCAGGGCCTAGTTACTATAGGAAACATACTCTGCCTGCGTTTTCCTTAGTAATATCCCCAGAATTGAACAATAGAAGACATAACTTACCGAAGTCAGAACTAGAGAGCCTTAGTAGTCCTCTCTACGCTCCTGTTTATCTTAAGTCTTGTTGCTACTCCTGGTTAAGTTAGATTGTAGTTAATCTTACATGTTTCCCTATGGATACGATACTTGGAATACTTCTGGGTGAAAGCTACAGCAGTATCCGTGCGCTTGTGGATTTATCTATGTGCATTAATAAATACCAACAACCAACTATAAGTCGGTCACGCCACGTGTGACCATCGATGGTGTTCGGGCTGCACCTGAGCAAGTTAAGGTTGTGCCACCTAAAGAGAAGAAGAAGAGAGCACCACCAGCTTCCTAGGAGAATGACGAGAAGCGCCAACGGATGACTGTTGCAATCCTCCACAATAAGATCCAAGACCTTACCTTGGCCAACCATGCTTTGCAACATAGGATTGACCAAGAGCACATCTATCGCAAGGATCTAGAATACGAGCTCACTATTCTCCGCCATTATGTTGTCAATAATGACAGATATAAGAAGTGAGAGTTAGATGATTGATTGATAAGGCACGCTTAGGTCGATTGTTAGATCGTTTGATTAGGTTAGATTGTGTTAGTTAGTTAAAGTTTGCTTAGGTTGAGATTGTAATAAAGTGCCTTATATGATATCAATAGAATTGTGCTGCTATTATTTTCTCTCTATTTTTGGATATGTGTTTGTCTCCACATGATGTGCATAAAGGTAACAAGAAACAAGTGTGGGGGAAGGACACCGCGACAACAAAACGAGACCCGATCGTGAAAATTATGAATTTTAGAAAGCATTAACACAAGGACAATGTATGACAAAGCTGGACTCAAGCGAGCCCATAGTGGGCCGCCCGGCCACCTACATGGGTCGGCCAAATTTAACAACACCACCTCACGTCGTGCTTCGTCCACGGTGATTTTTTTTTATTTTTAACACTTTTTAAAACTATTTTCAAACCTGACATTGTTTATTTTTTTTCAAAACTAACACTTTTGGACGCGCATGTTTGCATGACGCGGTGAAATCACTTTGCCGCGCCATGCATGGAGGTGCGGCGAGGGTGCCACCGTGGCAGTCAGCCGTGGCGCTGACCGCTGTCGTGGCTGGGCTGCCGCGCCACCAACCACGACGCGGGGCTGACGCGCCATGCATCATGGCGTGGCAGCCCCTTGTACAAGCATGCAGCCCGACCTCGCTTCCCTTCCTCTCTCTCTGTTTGACTCGGCCCATTTGACCCGGTTGGAGAGAGGAGTCGTGTGACACCCTAGGTGTCAATTTTAAGTTAAGCATTGAATTAAGTCTAATCTAACCAAGTCAAAGGATGATTGTGAGCTTTAGTTTAACACCTGACAAGTGGTGACAGAGGTGGAGTCAAATTCTTTCAAATATGACCTAACTTAAACTTTTCAAAGGCAAAGACAACTCTTTTGTTCAAAAGTAAATTTTATTTCAAAATGTGCATGAGTAGTTTTAATCATGTCTTTTCATGTGCATCACCTAATCATGAACATATTCTGGTCACATGAAAAGTTGCATGTTGCTTTGGATCAAAAAGTTATATGAAATGATAATTTCTTCTTTGCTTAAAAACACTTTTGTTAATTGAGTAGAAACATGTGATGTTTCATGTGTTGCTTTGTAGTGTTTCATATGTTGCATATAAGGTGTTTCACATGTTACCTAAAATATTAATAACAATAATGTTTAATGCTCTTTGTGAATTTATATATGAGAATTTGCTTAAACAAATAAATTTTTGTTAAAACAAAAGTTGTAGTGCAAAGTGTGCTTTATAATGTGGGATCAAAGATTGATAGTATTTCTAAGTCAAATATGTTTACATTTGAGCTCAAAGATTGAATCCAATGACTAATTCCGACAACCAATTTGACTAAGTCCCTGATTTTAGTTATTAAGTTCAATATTTGGTGAATTATTAAATCAATTTTCATAAATAAAATTTGTGCAATTTTGCTTCTATGAATTGGTGTGATGTTTGTACTTTGATATTGAGCTAATGGTTGGATTGTTTGATCAATGATTAGCCACTAATTAATTGCTCAAAGTAATTAATCAATTCGATTTTGTAACTCTGAATTTGAATTCAGTTTTTAGTTTCAATGTCCTATTTTCAAAATTCAAGATCTTTCAAACCAGCGAGAGTTTGAGGGTGATCCTTAGAGAAAAGTTGGTGATCAGAGAGGGATGAACAACTTTTATTAATGGAGATCATCAAGTTTACATATGGAATCTAGAGATAGAGAGGGAGAAAGACATGCTGTCAGTTTGCTACAGTAACAACCGTAGCCGCTCGCTTGCCGCGTCACCGCCATGCACCGCTTGGCCACCTTTGCTCCACTTCTCATGCGTGGACGCGTGGCCATCCACATGGTCGACTTCACGAAGACGCTACCGAAGCCGTGACGTCGCCCTCGCCCGTAAAAGCCCGACGTCAGCCACTCTCTCTTTTCTTCCTCTCTCTGTCCCGTCGCCGGTGAAATTAGTTGCCGTCGTAGCAGGCCCACCCAATTCGCCTCACAACCAAGTTCTCTATCTCCTTTCGCATCCCCCTATCCTGCTCATGTCGCTTGTAGCCACCGGAGTTGCTCGCAGTGCTGGTTGCCGCCGCGATCACCCCGACATCACCGCTGCGCCCACCTCACCGTGGCCAGCCCACTCCGGTGAGCCTATCGATCAATTAGCTACAGTTCTGAGTTCTCCGTGATGCCATGGTGCACACCAGAGTGACCGTTGATCGATTCTCCTCTAGGTCAGGCTGGAATGTCGCCCTCGCCGCCAGTCTACGCCGCCGCATCCGTCCTCGCCGATGGCAGCTGCCTCCGTTGTGTCTCTGCCTCAGCTGGTTAGTCGAGCAGGTTTGTGGTGAGTCCCTAGTGCTAGCTGATGCCTCAATTTAATCTCTACTAGTTTGTTGTGTCCGGCGCGTCACCGTCGCTCTGCCGTGGCTGCCATGGCTGGCATCGAGCTTGCCACGAAACCCTAGCTGCCCAATTAGCACCCTAGATCCATGCGCGGCGTCATCCTGAGCACGTAGGTGCTAGCCGCGTCGCCGGAGGTCTCGCCGGCGGTGAGAACCCACCGGTCAGCGTGGAAGGCCGCTAGAGTTGACCTGGGCCTGCTGTCAGTGAGCGCGGGTAGGTGAGAGCTGAGTGGAAAAAGTTTTCTTCTGTTTTATCTTTTTCAAGAATGGTTTAAATGTGCTGATTCTTGTTATATTCATAGAAAAATATAGGAATGTGATAAAATTATGAAAATTTTTGTGTAGCCTTGTCATGATGTTCTCTATCTAGGAAAAATCTGAAATGGTGAAATCAATAGTTTTTGCATGCTTAAAAATTACGTCTTTTAATTAATAAATGCTTAATTCATGATTTTTGTAGGATAAAATAATTATCCAATAATCATGAAACTTTTTGTGTAAATGTTATGTGCAATAAACTACCTTCATAAAAATTTTTGTACTGTTTTGATAATTCTAAATTGGTTAATTAATTTAAGTGTGTTTAAATGCATTTTATGGATTAATAAAAATAACAAAATGGTTTCTGTAAATTCCTAGATGACTTTGATATGATTTTGGTATTTGTTTGTGGACCGTGGAACATCCAAACCCCTGTTGTTCCTTAGCAATGGAATTACTTGCTTGATGTGTTTTGAATCAACTTGTTATATAATAAATAAAATGGTTTAATTAAATGTTTTGTTTTATAATTCTTTATAATGCTCATGAGTTAAGGAAAATGTTAATCACTTTTTGTTGGTCCATGCTAAGTTAGTCCTTTCATGATAGATAACTAATTAACTTGTTAGTTAATAAATAAATTAGTCCACTCAAATGACTAGTTAGTAAGTGCATATGGTTAGATTATGTGATGATCCTTGTTTGCTCTCATGGTTGAACTTGGTGTAATGTTTAATTAAATACCTTGCCATTCTTGACTAGTATAATGTGATAAGTGTTGCTTTCTTGATAACCACATGATTAACTTGTTAATCAAATAATTAGAATGCTTTGTGAAGCATAACCCTAGTTGTACCGCGACGAAAAGTTGTATTCAACTTTCTTAGATTAGTTTAAGTTCTGTTATGCACTTGTGTGTCTCTCATCATGTATCATGTTTACGCATTCCATCATGCTTAGCATATTATGGTAGTATGAAATTGTGATGTGTTGTTAATAACCAACTTGCGAGTAGATTCCAATTAGAATGGGAATTAAACCACAAACGATTAAAATCCTAGTTTGCCCTAGTGATGCAATGCCTATGCTCCATGTTTCTAAACATTTGTGTTATGTATGTTTCACTCAAACACGCATTGCATCCATGCATATCATTTAGGTGCGATAATGGATGATGAATCGAGTGATGGACTATGAAGTTGATCTCAAGAATGATGTAACGGTGACCAAGTCCAGAAGATAAAGATGAGGGTTGATCTTGTCCTGAAGATGAAGCTAACTAACTAACATTGTGCTTCAAACCCAGGCAAGCCCTAGAGCATTCTAAGCCTCCTACGTCTCTTTTAAAATACACTTGAGTTTATATTTTGTATTGTGCATTAAGTATAGGAGCTGAATTGAAAACCATTGCTGCATGTCTTACCTTGTCTACAATATATATACCTGTATCCTTACTAGTATGTATAGGTCACTCTATGCTTAGCTATGCTTAGACCGGTAGAAGTTGGGTGATTCCTGTCGCTTGAGAGACATAGGTGGTTACTCTGACACGGTTGGCTATATTTGCTATTGTGGAAAAGAACTAGGTGATAATGGATAACTGGAGACCGGACAGGATCTAGTGCTAATATGGTTGTTGTTGATACCGGTTAG